GGTTTTTTTGTTTCCCCCCCCCCCCCCGATCATTCATTTACTATAAGGTATAGGATGTCTGAGAAATTCTATCTAAATGAAAAGCATTCTCCCACACACTGTTCCCCAGTGGCCACAGCACACGTCTCTGAATACTTACAGTACTTACACACCTGTGCATACCATGTATTTCTTAAGTTGTCTTGTAATTGTTTCATGAAAGTTTATCTTCTTTTCCCTAAGCTCCTTGAGGATAGGGACAATGTCATCTGCTGCTTTTGTTCTTTCCCATCGTGCCTAGCAAAGTCTTGGATAAGTAATCGTTCCAAATAAAGTCTAATTTCTTGAGTTCTTGATACTTGTGGTAGCGAGATGGCAAGGGCTCCCTTTTTTGCATGACTTGACTCATGTAAATAGGAGTTCTCAACGTTCAGTGAAAGAGTTGAAATCCCATTGTTTTTTTTCAGGTATGGCTTCACAAAAGAAGTTTTGCATAAATATAAGGTAAGGCTCTTTTTTTTTTTTGCATTTTCTTTGCTGTTTATGCATAGAAGTTAAAAAAAAAAAAAGCTTCAAGAACGGTGAGGGGAGAACTAGTCAGAATTCATGCCAATAAAATAAAAGCACAAAAGGAAGCCCTGGCCATAGTGAAGACCTGTTTTTCTTTCTAGACACAAGCTTTTTCATTGTGGCTTCTGTGTAAGTTTTAGCATAGATACAAACATATTCCATTGTTTTAAAGGTGCCTGGGATTTGTTTTACTCAGGTGTGGTAAAACATGCAGACATGGAAATGACTGAAGGAAAAGGTTTTTACTCACAGTTCCTTAGAAACTGGAGGCATGGCACACCAGGCCCTGCGGCCACATGGGGAAGCGCTCCGGGGGTCAGTCAGGCGGAGGGAATGCAGGCAAACTTGGACAAGAGCCTTTATTGTGGTTTCCTTGCGAAGAAATGGGTGAGGCATTGTAAACAGGTTTAGGATTGGCTAGTTTGAATAGTTTTAGCAGGCTCTGGGGCTTAGGGCTTGTCCAAGGTTGTCTGGTATCTGGCCCTGGGGTGACTGGAGCTGAGAATAGTGACCCTGGGTGTGAGAATTCCATAAAGGACTAGTTGGGAGGATAGGCTCTGGATAGTTTGGTTTGCATATGAAAGGTAGCCTCATTTACATACAAAAGGCAAGTCCTTTACTATCTCTAGGAATTAACTAGCCCTGGGTCAGCAAGGCACCAAAATGTCTAAGTATCAGAAATACAGACTGAAAAGACATGATTAATGCATGCTTGTTGGTTAGTGATTCCATCCTGACCTTCTTTGGGTGGCATGAAAACTGTGGGTTTTTGTCCATATGTTGGGACTATTCAATAAACTTGAACTCTCAGAAAAACAAACTTACTCAAGCTCTTACTTACAGCTACATGGGAAAAAAATCTTACAAGTCTTGGAAGACATCTATACCTGGCTCCCAATTGGTACAATCATTGACAATGAAATCCTGGTCATACACGGAGGGATATCAGAGTCCACGGACTTGAATTTACTCCACCGTATAGAAAGAAACAAAGTAAGAAGCAGTGTTTGCATGAATGTTGTCTCAGAGATTTATAAAGGGATACGTACCTCCCTTCATTTATTATTTTGTATTGATTCGTGTTTTAGTGGTTGCTGTAACTCTGAAAAGATTAGTACAAATTTTAAGAAAATCTGTGATTGCATGATAAGGAACTAAATGGATAACTTCTATACATGGAAAATGCATTGTTAAAAATTCATGGTGAGGGCTTCCCTGGTGGCGCAGTGGTTGAGAGTCCGCCTGCTGATGCCGGGGACACGGGTTCGTGCCCCGGTCCGGGAAGATCCCACATGCCGCGGAGAGGCTGGGTCCGTGAGCCATGGCCGCTGAGCCTGGGCATCTGGAGCCTGTGTTCCGCAACGGGAGAGGCCACAACAGTGAGAGGCCCGCGTACCGCAAAAAAAAAAAAAAAAAAAATCATGGTGAAAGTGGAAAAATGAGGAAATATCGGCATTTCGTATAGTTTCTAAAAGTGAAAAATCCTGATTTTTGAAAAGTTAAAATTTCTACTTAATTAATTAAAGTTGTGGCAAAATATACACAACATAAAATTTACCACTTTAACCATTTTTAAGTGTATAGTTCAGTGACATTAAGTACTTTCACATTGTTCTGCAACCATCACTACTGACACCACCACCATCCATTTCTAAAACCTTTCATCTTCCCAGACTGAAACTCTACCCATTAAACACTGACTCCCCATTCTACCTTCCCCAGCCCTTGGCATTCTGTCTTCTGTTTCTATGAATCTGACTGCTCTAGGTGCCTCATAGAAATGGAATCATACAGCAATTTATTTCTGAATTGGTGTGATTTCCCTTATATATTCCAAATGGCTCAACGTAATCTGGGGGGGAATATTTTAATATTTCAAATTAAGCAATCATATTCAATACAGCAGAAGCAGAGCAGGAATATGTATTGACACTCTGAGGGTAGTGGGTGTGGGGGGCCTGTGAAGCTCCCAGCCGTAGTGAACAGCGTCTTTGGCTGGGCCTTGCAGAGTGACTGCAATCGTCTTCCACCTATACCAGAGCCCAGCCAACACTCCCAGACTAGGGGGTAGACAGGGTGCCAGGTGGGCATGAGGACCAGTGGCAACTCTGGAGCCAGGTGATCTTGTACGGGCCTAGTGATCTTGTACGGGCCTAGTGTGATTCCCGTTCACCTTGAGTTTTTTTTTTTAATATTTATTTATTTATTTTTGGCCGTGTTGGGTCTTAGCTGTGGCACGCAGGCTCCGGAGTGCGTGGGCTTTGTAGTTGCGGCATGTGGGCTCTGTAGTTGTGGCGCGTGAGCTTAGTTGCCCTGCGGCACGTGAGATCTTAGTTCCCCGACCAGGGATCGAACTGGCGTCGCCTGCATTGCAAAACAGATTCTTAACCATTGGACCACCAGGGAAGTCCCACCTTGAGTTTTTAGAGCCCTTATGCCTTTATACACATATGAATGATAATACTGTTGCTAACTCCTTCTCATCCTTTTAATTTCAGCTTAAATATACACCCCTCCTCTGGAAAGCCATCCATGACCTCCACACTAGATCAGGTCCCCTTCTGTGTGCTTTCAAGCCCCTTGTACATATCCTTCATAAAAGTTACCAAAATTAAATAAGCAGTTGTAGTACTGTTTGTTTACCATCCTCCCCTGCTTCTCTAGTTCACTGATACAACCCCAGCACCAAGATGTAGTTAAGTATTAATTAATGTTTGCTGAATATCTCCTAAGAGGTTTAAGACCAAAGTAGGGCAAGTGTAAGATAAAACTGGAAAAAAATCTTTTTACAACCCCTTTCCTGATTCTGTGGTGATTTTACATACCCCAGTCCCCAGCCTTACCCGGTGATGACCATACTTCCTGGTTTACACCTGTTGTCTTGGTGTAGTTATTAATAGCACATCCCTTTACTCTCAAAAGTATCCCAGTTGCAGTAAATTTTAAGGTACCTAGTTTAAGGCACCTTTCTTATAATATCAGCAAACAGTCAAGCCAATAAGATGTTTCAATCAACATGGGGTAGTCACTGTTAGCATAATGAGTGGATATGATTCTAGCCAGGAGCAAGGGAACATGATGTTTCTGTCAGTCAAATATTGGCAAGCACATGGCAGGAATGCAACAGTCCACCACCACTTGCCCTATGACAACAGCGCTAATCAGCCATGGCAGCCAGTACCAAATGATCAGATTGAAAACTTTCCCTTTCCTGAGGTTAGCCTGAGAAGCCTGGCCTCTCTAGGGCTATTTGAGATATAAAGAGCGTGCGTCTGGAATGCCCATTACTGCCTCTGTGGAGACCCTAAATTGAGAGCCACCTTAACCTAGCAAACACCATGGAGCTCTGATATCAGACAGATGTAGCTAGCATTACATCCGTTACATCCTGCTTCTGCCACTTCCTGGCTGGGTAACTGGGCAAGCTGCCAACGATTTCTAAGCCTCAGTTTCCACATGTATACATTGAAGCTAAAAATACCTACTGTATTGAATTGTTGGGAGGATTAAATATAATTACCTAGATGAAGAAAATGGCATAGAGTAAGCTTTGAACATAACTCTCTTCTGCAACTCTCTCCTCTTTTTCCTGATACTTAAAACTAAGGTTTGAATTTCAGTCACCAAGGCAGACCCTGGGGAGAAATTTTGGGGCCAGGAATTTTACCAGGATACCTCAAATTTCACCCCCTTTGGGGATCATTGTTCCACCTACAGAAAAGACTGGCTTTAAAGGTAGAAATTTGACTTGTGTATTTTTTGTCTACCCTGCCTAGAGTGAAGTTGAACTGGTAGCACGTGCTCGTTGTGTGAAATGTAATTGAACTGTAATGAAAGTAGTAGGTTCAAGCCTTTGGAACTCTACCAGATGAGATACAAAAACAGGTTTTCAAGTTCAGTTTTATAACACCCACTTGCCCATCTGTTTGGACCCTCCAAGTGTAGGGGTGACCATGCTTCCTGGTTGGTACCTGCTGTTATGGTATAATTGTTAATAGGAGAGGGGTAGGGCTGGGGGAACCTGATGACAACCTCCATTCTAGGTTCATTAAAGGTATTTTGTAAGGTAGGCAGGTTGGGGAGGAGGGTGAATGCAGCGGGACAGAGAAGGAAGACTCTATAACACTAAGACTCTGGTTTAGTATTTTTCAAACTCCCTGGCAGGGGTTGTGAGAAGGGATGGCTAGTAGGACCCCCCAGGAGAAAATGATGATGTGGTACCTTAGCAGGGACTGGACAAAGTATCCTGATCCCAAGTGGCCTTGAAAACAGTGGAGCCACATGTACTTAAGAGACCATGTGGTTTTGCCCTGCCTGATGACCTTATCAGAAGTGAGTTGTGTGGAGCCACGTCCAGAGTGTCCTCCCAGAATATTCTACTCTGCCTAAGACCTGGCAACATTTGCTGGTGGGGAGACAGGGAGGGTAGGCTGTGAACTCACTAATAATAGCTGAAATTGAACTCCAACCATCTCAATGAGACAGGACCTCAGAATAAGGTTCAATTTTATTTTAGAAAAACAAAGGTATGATTTTATATACACCCTAGTTTATAGAAGAAGCTTAAGTGCCTACCACAGAAAATTGTCCATCACTGAACTAAGGTCACCAATGTAACAGAAGTATTATTTCAAATTGTTTTGTATAAAGGTATGGTACTGCAAAGAAACAAGTATAAAATTACAGTCTCAAGTTATGTAAGGGAATGTAGAAAGGATTATAGTAATTGATGTACTATCAGAGAGATATTTTATTTCCAAAGAAATACATTGCCTTTGTTACTAGGATTAGAGAATGTAATCAATTGCTTGCAGGTCAGACTGAGAACCCAGTGCGTTTAAGTTGAAGGGCTTCCGAAGTTTTCAACTTATGTCCCCTTTGTGCACTTTCCTGGGCACAGATGTACTTTCTCTCATTTCTCCTGGAAAACACAGCAAAAGGAAAAGCAACCATCTTCTTGAGGTGTTTCTGAACTCTAGGCCTGTTAGTTCTCTCTCTTAGCCCCGTGTATAGATAAAGGTTCAGAGGGAGACTAGTTTTCCCTTAGCATCTTCTTTTTCCTATCAGGACGCCACAGAACATATCTCTACTGATATCTGTGCCTCTGGGGTCTTTTAGAAACTCTAATGGGAAACTTTCCCTTAGGACAGTATCTCTTTTTGAAAAATGTACAAGCAGAACTTAACAGCCCCACTTTTAGAGATCAGTTGATCAATAAGATGAAGGAGGTAGGTGAGATGGAAAAGGGGACCATGAGGTAGGTGAGATGGAAAAGGGGACCATGTGTTTTCCATTGGGTCGAGGCACCACAATATAGACAGAATAGCAACTAGTGCTGAAGTTTCTACGTGCAGCACCCTGAGCATGGGGTTTGGCTAAAGCATAAATTTGTTTTGTAGTTGAAATCTGTGCTGATGCCACCAATTCCAATAGATGGAGACCATGCTACTGAGAAGGGAAATAAAGTAGGTACAACCATTACAGCTCGGGGAATCAGAACAAATGGATCCCTTTCTGAACAATTAACAAAGCATGAATGGGAACAGGTAAGTAATCAAACTGTTCACTAAAGTGGCAATGAAGATGCAGCATAGATGATGTTGTTCTAATAATATATAAAAAGTGACTTACCTTTCTAAGCAGATCATATCCTTCTCTCTAAATTCATTACTATATTTTTAATAGCTTAATTGAGATATCATTCAAATACCATATTTAAATGGTATTTAAAGTATATAATTCATTGGGTTTGGTATATTCACGGTGTTGTACAACTATCCCCACAATCTAATTTTAGAACGTTTTCATACCTGAAAAAGGTACTTGACATACCTATTACCAGTCACTTCCTATTCTCTCCCCACCCCCGACCACTATCCCTGCACACTTAGACCACCACTAATCTCCTTTTAAAAAAAAAAAAAATTATTTATTTGGTTGTGCCAGGTCTTAGTTGCATCAGGCGGGCTCCTTAGTTGTGGCGCATGGGCCCCTTAGTTGCAGCCGACAGTCTTTTTAGTTGTGGCATGCAGACTCTTAGTTGCAACATGTATGTGGGATCTAGTCCCCTGACCAGGGACCAAACCCGGCCCCCTGCACTGGGAGCACGGAGTCCTTATCCACTGCGCCACCAGGGAAGTCCCACCACTAATCTCCTTTTGGTCTTAATAGATTTCTCTATTCTGGACATATTATAGAAATGGATTCATTTCTATATTATATCTTTTGTCTCTGGCTCCTTTTACTCAGTCACAGTAAAAGAAGTGCTTTTGCTTTGTGCTTTTGGTGTTGTATCTAAGAAGCCATCGCCTAACCCCAAATCATAAAGATTTATTTCTATGTTTTCCTCTGAGAGTTTTATAGTTTTAGTTCTTACTTCTAGGTGTCTAATCCATTTTGAGTTAATTTTTGTGTATGGTGTGAGGTAGGTGTCCAAAGTGATTTTATTGCATGTGGATATCCAATTATCGCAGCACCATTTGTTAAAAAGACTTCCTCTCCTTGAATTTTCTTGACACCCTTACAAAAAATCAATTGACTGTAAATATGAAGGTTTATTTCTAGACTCTTAATTCTATTCCATGATCTATATGTCTATCCTTTTATCGTTACTACACATTTTTGATTACTAGCTTTGTAGAAAGTTTTGAAACTGGGAAGTGTGAGTTCTCCAACTTTATTCTTCTTTTTCAAGATTATTTTGATTATTCTGGGTCCCTTGAATTTCCATATGAACTTTAGAATCAGCTTGCCAATTTCTACCAAAAAAGAGCTGGGATTTTGGTAGGGATTGCCTTGAATCTGTGGATCAATTTAGTTACTATTGCAATCTTAACAATATTATATCTTTAATTTCATGAAGGTGGGATGTCTTTCCATTTGTTTAGATCTTTAATTTCAGCAGTGTTTTGTAATCACGTACAGTGAGGCACTTGTTAACGTTATTCCTAGTTTATTCCAAAATATTTTTGATGCTATTGTAAATAGAATTGTTTTCTTAATTGCATTTTGGATTGTTCATTTCTGGTATATATTGACTTTTGTATACTGACCTCATGTTGTGAACCTTGATAAACTTGTTTGTTCATTCTAATGGTTTTTAGTGGATTCCTTGGGACTTTGTATAAACAAAAGCATATTATCTGTGAATAAAGATAGTTTTGCTTCTTCCTTTCCAATCAAGCAGCCTTTTATTGCTTTTTTAATTTTTTTTTTTGTGCGGTACGCAGGCCTCTCACTGTTGTGGCCTCTCCCGTTGTGGAGCACAGGCTCCAGACGCGCAGGCTCAGCAGCCATGGCTCACAGGCCCAGCCTCTCCGCAGCATGTGGGATCTTCCCAGACCGGGGCACAAACCCGTGTTCCCTGCATTGGCAGGTGGACTCTCAACCACTGCGCCACCAGGGAAGCCCCTTTTATTTCTTTTTCTTGCTTCGTTGCCCTGTCTTAAACCTCTAGTACAGTGTTGAAAAATAGAAGTGGTGAGAGTAGACATCATTGTCTAATTCCTAATATTAGGGGGAAGCATTCAGTCTTTCCCATTAAGTATATTACCTACCCTACATCAGATTGAGGAATTTCTCTTCTGTGCCTACTTTCTTGAGTGTTTTTACCATGAA